TTTGAATAAAATTCTTTAGAAGAAATTAATTATTTTCATGAATAATAATATTTTTCTCCGGAATTCAATTATTTTTACAAATAAAATTCTTTAGAGGAATTCAATTCTTTAAAAAATTTTTTAATAAAATTCGTTGCAAGAATTCAATTATTTTTATAAATAGCAACATATAATTAATTTTTTTGTAAAATTCACCAAAAGAATTCAATTATTTTTCAAAATTTTAATCAAATTCTTCATAAAAATTTAATTTTATATTCAATTTTCGAAAGAATTCAATTATTTTCGTAAAAAAAAAATTCTTCAAAGTAATTCATTTATTTAAGAAATTTTAATTAAATTCTTCAAAAGATTTCAATTCTTTTCAAAAATAAACATTTTCACAGGAATTCAATTATTTAAAAAAAATTTTTTTTTTAATTCTGTGTCAGTTTTCAATTATTTTTAACTTTTTAATAAAATCTATCGATAGAATTGAATTATTTTCAAAAAGGTTTAAGAAATTCGGAAAAATTCAATTATTTAAAAAACTTTGAATAAAATTCTTCACAAGAAATTGATTATTTTCATGAATAATAATATTTTTCTCCGGAATTCAATTATTTTTAGAAATAAAATTCTTTACAGGAAGTAAATTCTTCAGAAAATTTTTTAATAAAATTCGTTGCAAGAATTCAATATATTTTCATAAGTTACAAATCTTATAGCGGAATTCCAATTATTTTTTATACAATTTTAAATATAATGATAGAAAATTGCATTTCTTCTGAATTTTTTTTTTAAATTCACTGAAAGAATTGAATTATTTAAAAAAATTTTGATAAAATTCTTCATGAAAATTCAATTTTAAGAAATATTCAATTATTGAATAAATTATTTATTTTTTTATGTAAATAATTGAATTCTCGAAAAATTTTCTAATAAAAATTTATTAAAAAATGAATTTCAGGTAAAATTTTAGACAGTAATTGAATATTAGAAGAGTCATTGTGTGAATGTTTAGAAATATTTGAATTTTGAAAAGAGTTCAAATTAAAATCTTTAAAAATTTTAATTTATAGTTACAATATTCTTATGATATAAAATAATAATTTTATCACTCTGATATCTTAAATTTATTATGAAACATGAGAAAATCGATAACTCCGAGTCGAAGACTCGGAGGGTTCGATTTTTTCATGTTTTATAATAATATTCTCATAATAAGTTATTGAATTGGAGAATCTTAATTTTTATAGAAAAATAGTAATAATTAAATATTTATTAAAAAGGAAGTTATTGATGTTCTTCAGGGTCAAGGAAAAAGTGAAAATTTTGTCTGGAAATCAGGGAAAAATTTTTTTTTAAAAAATTACACTTATTTCAATAAAAAAGCCACTAATTAATTTCTTATACCGAGATTTTAAATATCAATTTATTTAGTGAAGAAATGAATTCCACGACTAAAAAAACGAACACGACTAAAAAAACGAACACGATAAAAATATCGATACCTAAGGAAATGAAACTAAAAATTGAAATCAGTTTATATTATTCGTTGAACCCTCTAAATTTGATTTGATACTATTTTTTATTTTTAAATTCAATCTGAGAGCCGCTAGCCGGTATTATTTATATAATATTTACAAATACGAAGAAAACATGTCCCTCAGTATTTTATGTACATGTGTGTACATGATCGTGTGCCATTAAGTTGGGAATTTCAGGTATATTAACGATGTCAGAAGAGTGAGACGGGCATATGTATAACACACGAATTCGCGACCACCCGTTGATACACGTTCAGATTTAACAGCGCAAAAGTCCGCGTGCGCTAGCATGTGGTCATTTCATTTTGCAACCCGGTGTGATTTTAGTGACCGACTTTATTACCCCTCTACAATACGCCTGTGCACCTCTTTTTCAAACGAGAGTCATTACTGACAAATAAAGTGGGGAAAAAAAAATTAAGGAAAATAAAAATCGAAAATGAAACTTTTACAAGGTGAGAATTGCCGTTCATGTATTGATATGTATATACTATATACGACACGTTATTTCATCTTGTATTTTATTAACTGAAAAACCCTCTTTAGTATACTAGTCACGTTTCACAATAAACGCGAGAGAAAGTCAATCTAAATACGCTCACGAGAAATTAATCCGGTCCAGCTGCTTATTATGTGCGAACGCTCGAGACAAATTGAATTTATATTGCGGAATCAATTTGAGAGAAATTTGGTTAATTTGGTTTGTACCTGGATTTCTGTACCAGTGGAATTGTCACAGTGATTAAAAAAATTTTTTTAATCAAAAAATAAGTAGCTAACCAAAAAAATAGGTTTTAATTAAAAGTAATTTTTATCGAATCAAACTTTACGCATTTATCTACTAAAACCTACTATTTACTACTTTTTTTGCGTTATGCTACTATTTGGGTACTTTTTTAGATTTTAGCCACTAAAAGTTACTATTTCTTTCTTTTTCTTTTGATAATTTACTTTAAATTCGCCAATACTAGAAATAAAAAAACTATTCTCAAAAATTATAATTAAATTCTTTAAAACAATTCAATTATTTGAAAAAAAATATTCGAAATTCAATTATTTTCAATATCTCGTATTTTTACAAAAATTCGCAAAAGAATTCAATTATTAAAAAAAATTGATAACATTCGTCCAAAATTAAATTATTTTCATAATTAATAAAACTCATCGAAGAATTTCAATTATTTTTAATACGATTTTCAATTAATTAATCGAAAAATTCAATTATTTTCACAAATAAATTTTTCCACAAGAATTGAATTATTTAAAATAAAATTTTTCTAATATTTATTATATTTCGAAAAAATTAATTATTTAAAACAATGTTTATAAAATTCTTATAAAGAATTCAATTAGTTTAAAAAAACAAATTTTTTCACAGAAATTCAATTCTTTTTAAACATTTTTCGAAATTATTTAATTATTCTCATAAATAATAATTTTTCTTCTCAGGAATTCAATTATTTAAAAAAATATAATATTCTTAGCAACTATTCAGTTGTTTTCATAAATAATAAAATCCATTGCAGGATTTCAATTATTTCTAATACAATTTTACAGGAATTTCTTAAAAAAATGTAATTATTCTTAAAAATTTAATTTCAATTCCTTAAAAAAAATTAATTATTAAAAAAAAAAAAATTTATTTGAATTCTAAGGAAAAATTCAATTATTTACAAAAATATAAGAATTTTTCATAGGAATTCAATTATTTTCAAACATTTTAATAACATTGTTCGAAAGAAACAAATTATTTTAAAAACAATTGTAATTCAATTTTTTTCAAGTAATTCAATTATTCTTTTAGATTTTAATAAAATTCTTCCCAAGAATTCAATTATTTACATAAATAATTCTTTAAAAGAATTAAATTATGTCGATGAATTTTATTAAAATTCTTAGGAACTATTCAATTATTTTCATAAATAATAAAATTCATCGTAGGATTTCAATTATTTTAAATACAATTTTAATTAAATTTTTTTGAAATAATTCAATTATTCTTTCAGATTTTAATAAAATTCTTCTTAAGAATTCAATTATTTACATAAATAATTCTTCGAAAGAATTCAATTATGTCGATAAATAACAAAATTATTCATGAAATTTAATTATTTTTTAAAATTTTAATACAATTCTTAGCAACTATTCAATTATTTTCATAAGTAATAAAATTCATTACAGGATTTCAGTTATTTTTAATGCAGTTTTACAGGAATTGCTCAAAAAATCCTTTCTAAAAATTTAATTTCTCGAATAAATCAATTATTTAAAAAAATGTTTTTTTTAATTCTTTGGAAGAATTCAATTATTTACAAAAATATTAGAATGTTTCACAGCAATTCAATTATTTTCAAATATTTTAATAAAATTGTTCAAAGCAGAAATCAATTATTTTAAATACAATTTCAATTAGATTTTTTGACATAATTCAATTATTCTTTTAGATTTTAATAAAAATTGCCTTCCAAGAATTCAATTATTTACATAAATAATTCTTTAAAAGAATTAAATTATGTCGATAAATAACAAAATTATTCTAGAAAATTCAATTATTTTGAAGTATTTTAATAAATTTTTTTGACAAATTCAATTATTTTCATAAATAACAATATTCATCACAAGAATTCAATTATTTGTAAAAGTAATAAATTTCTTCTTAGGAATTCAATTAGGGTAAGTGTACCAATTGCCGAGGGTGTTCCATTTGTCGATGTTACCATGGTAATAACCAAAAAATATTGTCTAAAATGTCTCATTTGTTTGTTTATATAATATTAATATATTTTTTTTACATTTATAACGCATAAAAAAATTAATATTTATTATTTTTTTTCATTTACAATGTGCTACATTGTTTAAATAAAATTCAAAGTTTGTTTACTCGACAACAGGAACCATCCTCGACAATTGGTACGTTTACCCTATTTAAAAAAATTCTAATGAAATCGTTCGCAAGAATTCAATTTTCTTTTAATGAATAATAAAAAATGTCTTAGGAATTCAATTATTTTAATTACAATTTGCATAAAATTAGTCGAATGAAATCAATAATTATTTAAAATTTTTTATAAAATTCTTCGCAAGAATTAAATTATTTTTATTAATATTTAAATTCTTTCATGAATAATAAAATTCGTTGCAGGAATTCAATTTTTGAGCAGGATAAGAAAGAAGTAAATATTTTTGATGAATATTATGAGAAAGTCAGAAAAATAAAATGTAGAATGGAATTTTTGTCAGTTTTGTATAACAAAGATAATTGATTTAAAAATATTGTTTTCACAGTGACATGGATTAAATTTTATGGAAAAGAATTTTGATGATTCTATGATTCCAGGGAAAGCATGAAAATTTTATTAGAAAAGTTATTTTATTCGAAATTGCAGTGAAAATGTTAGTTTAAGTAGAGTAAGGGATAATATTTAATTGCAACTGAAGAATAACGAATGTTTGTTTTAATTTTTTTTACAGATGGTTCTGTCATTTCGACGATGACAATTACGTGAATGTGCCGCGGTTGCTGAAGCTTCTGGATAACTATAATCCACGAGAGGATTGGTACCTAGGGAGACCGTCGATACCAGCGCCCTTGGAAATTTTACGTCAAGGCTCCGAGTCTACAAAACGATCTGTAAGTGACAAAAAAAATTTTCTCTTTCATCTGACTTAAAAATATTTCAAATTTAGTAATTTCTACATCGAAATGCATTTTATAGTTTTAAACTCAAAATTTGAAGTATAAAATATTAAAAATCTAAGATATAAAATATCTGTTAGAATCTAAAGTATTTAATTCTTAAAATTGGGTGGAATGTAAATTTCAAATTCCACTTTTGTAAAAGTTTTACAAGAAATCTTCGTTTTTTAAAAATGTTGCGCACTTCAGCCTCATTTAATTTTATACGCAATCTAATAATACATATTCCGTAAATACCCGAGAGTTTAGATGCGGAATAGAATATCGGTTGTTATCAAAAGCGCAATTAGTCGGTTGTTGCATGATGACGATTTACCGCTACCCTGGGATGTTTTAGATAAGTAATTTTAAAAACGTAAATGAGTATTTTAACGAGAATCTCTCTCTCCACACACACTTTACATCCGCATTGATTTCAACTATATAGAAATTGTTTTTTTCTTTCTTTATCGCAAATTTTCCGCAAACTTGAGCGCACATTACATTCGTTTTCTTTTCTCTCGTGTATGAGAGTAATTTTTTTTTTTTTTTTGAAAAAAGCATTAAAGATATATATATATATGTATAAAGGAGAATCGCTTCTTTATAATTCTAATAATTTATCAAAACCTTTTACATATACAACATTCGTATCGCGTTCTCCTTTAGGTTTTTCTATCCCTTTTGTTATTGAAGTAAGTAGCTCATTGCATTTCTACCGGGGAGGTCTTATCGAATTTATGCATCTGCGAAACAACCTCACCTGTGTTCTTTAAAGAGACAGGAAGGCGGTGATGAAGGAAAAAGAAGATAGGGAACTTAAACTATATTTGGTTTATATATATTGTTTCGATAAAAACGTTTTACTTTGGGTTTTGTATCATTTCTTACCTCTTTGGAAATTTTATTATTTTTTTAAAAAACTATTTTTTACCGAATTTTTAAGTAAAATAATAATTTTATCACTCGGTCATCTTTTAATAATTATCACTATAATGTTATTAATTATTAACTAAAATTAATTGTTTAAAAATAGAGGATAAATTAAAGAAAAGTTAGAAATTGTTCTTAAATTAGGAATAATGTCTTTTTCTAGTGACTACGAGGGGATTTTTATAATATTTTTTATTGTTGTTGCCACTTGTGTGTTCTGTGAAGAATTTAGTATTTTTTTTTGTTGCCTCCCCTGGCAATCTGTCCCTTTAGTGTGTACCACAAGTCCACACTTTTTTTTTTGTCACGGTTTCTCATCGAGTCCATCCGTGAAATCACTATTTTCCGCAATAGCCTTCACTATAGGTGCGGTTTTACTGGTTTCCACTCTTTAATTTTGAAGCCTCGTATTTTACGGCAAATCGACGTGCACATCAAGAGAAACATTAATTGCGTGAAAATAAAAAATATGTCGAGAAATGAAGAGTGAAAAAGGAAAAAAAAATGGCCAAATCTCAAATTGTATTTTTATATACGAAAGATTAGCTTGTGATTTTAATTTAGGACTTTCAAATTTCTTTGTTTCTATTTTGTTTATTTAAATTATGAACAGGTCGTGCGGACTCAAGGGACTATTGATACTTTTTGACAGTTTTTTCACACTATTTTTCAAAATAGTAGATAAATAGTTATTTATCAGGCGTTATTTTTATAAATTTACTAATTACAGGTATTTCGTTAAAAAAGCCTCTGATTTGAAATTAATATGAAATTTCATATAGAAAATTCATAAATTTATTTAGTGAAGAAATTAATTCAACATGGAGACGCTATTCTCCACCTGCGAACGCCAAGGTCACCGCTAGATGGCACTTCAGTTTCTTCTTGGAATTTTTTTTTTTGCCATCTGGTGGCGGCCTTGGCGTTCTCAAGTGGAGAAACTAAAAAAACCATTTTCTCCCTCAAAAACTTTTTTATAATTAATAAATTACAAAAAATGTTATTGTAATGAAAATAATTAAAATTATTATACAATTAAATTATTAAATTATTTCAAAAATTTTATGCCAATTTTGATGCTGTTTCTTAATTCTAAATTTCGTCCAAGGCCTTTTTTTTGACAAATTTTTTTCGCAGATAGTACTAAATAAATTTTGTGGAATTTATATAAGAAAAAAGAATATGTTTCTCTTGCAAATTCTTGGCTATTTTTTTTTTTTTTTTTTGCTTTTTAGTTTTTGCAATAATGTATACGTATATATGACATTATGAAAAATGATATTTTTGTTCGCGCGCGAAAGCCATAGCGCGGAATAATGTCCGTTTTCTGCTCCTTTAATGAAAGGGAAGATGTTTCTCTCTGAATGTCACAGGGAGGTCTTTCGTTTTGTAAAGGTAATCATAAATTCGTGGCCGCATGTTTACGAGGTACATTGCGAGATATCATCGTGATTTAATCATTCGTTCAGTGCTGGATCGGTCTCGGTAGCTGGGAGAGAAAGAGAAAAAGAGAGAATGAGAGAGAGGAGGGGGGGACGCGATTTTATCATCCTCGGTACTGTCACGATCGCATCCCTTATTCTTTATTTCATTTTAAAGACAAACATTTTGTACCTACAACAGTATTACAACCTTATTCCCCTTTTATATCAATTTTTATCGTATTTCTCCGCTCTTGTTTTTAATTTTCTTGAGAATTTTTAAATTTATTTTCGGTTTTTTAGTGGGAGAAAAATTATTATTATAAATATTAAATATATTATATTATGATAACTAAAAAAATAGGTACTCCTTTTTACTACTTTAAATTCGATAATACTAGAAATCAAAAAACTATTCTGAAAAATAATAATCAATTTCTTTAAAACAATTCAAATATTTTTCATTTTTCATGGAAATTCAATTTTTGAAAAAAAATTTAATAAAATTCTTAGCAAGAACACAATTATTTTTCATAAATAATCAAACTCATCTAAGAATTTCAATTATTTTTAATACTATTTTAAATTAATTAATCGAAAAATTCAATTATTTTCAAAAATAACAAAATTTTTCACAGAAATTCAATTCATTTTAAACATTTTAATAAAATTTTTGGCAATAATTCAATTCCTCGAAAAAATCAATTATTTAAAAAATGTTTTTTTTTTAAATTCTAAGGAAGAATTCAATTATTTACAAAAATATTAGAATTTTTCACAGGAATTCAATTACGTCGATAAATAACAAAATAATTTACGCGAAAATTCAATTATTTTCAGACATTTTAATAAAATTCTTTGCATAATAAAATCGTTCTCAAGAATTCAATTATTTTCATAAATAATAAAATTCTTCTCAGGAATTCAATTATGTTTGAAAATTTTAATAAAATCTTTTGCAACTATTCAATTATTTTCATAAATAATATAAATCATAGCAGGGTTTCAATGAATTTTAATACAATTTTACAGGAATTGCTTAAAAAATGTGATTATTCTTAAAAATTTAATTTCAATTCCTCGAAAAAATCAATTTTTTAATAAAATGTTTTTTTTTTAAATTCCAAGGAAGAATTCAATTATTTTCAAATATTTTAATAAAAGTTTTCGAAAGAAAGCAATTATTTGAAATACAATTTTAATAAAATTCTTCCCAAGAATTCAATTATTTACATAAATAATTCTTCGAAAGAATTGAATTACATCGATAAATATCAAAATAATTTACGAAAATTCAATTATTTTGAGACATTTTATTAAAATTCTTTGCAAAATTCAATTATTTTAAAAAATTCTAATAGAATCGTTCTCAAGAATTCAATTGCTTTAAAAAAAATTAAATAAAATACCACACAGTCAAAAATTTTAATAGAAGTCTTTGTAAAATTTAATTATTTTTAAAAAATTTTCGCAATTCAATGATTTTCAATATTTACTATTTTCATAAAATTTTCAAACAGAATTCAATTATTTAAAAAATTCTTTGTAAAAATCTTCGTAAGAATTCAATTATTTTCAAGAATAATACAAATTTCTTAGGAATTAGTTCATGAATAATAAAATTCGTTGTAGGAATTTAATTTTTTAGCCGAATAAAATAGAAGTAAATATTTTTTAGGAAAATTAAGAAAAAATCAGGGAAATTAAAAATAGAATGAAATTTTTGTCAGTTTTGTAAAGTGTCTAAAAAGAGTTTTTTTGATTGTCAAGTTTAATTTTTCGATAGTAACTTTTTTACTAATTTTTTTAGTTTGAAAGCTACTTTTTGATACTTTTTTAAAATTAATTATCGAGTGTAAAATGTGCAATTCTATATTTAATTTTTCTTTTTAAAATTTTACAGAATATTTATTAGTTAAAATTTAAAAATAATCGATAATCAGGTATAAGTAAAGAATTTATTTAGTATAGAAGTAAAAAAATTATTAAAGTAAAGAAACTATTTCTTTGTTACGAAAATGAAAAATATCCCAGACATCAATCAATATTTATTAATAGTTTTCTTATTAATTCACATACAACTTTTTTTTCCTTTTTTTTTTGTCTCGATTGAAGAAGAATTATTTTAAACGTTTTTCCCCTCTTGAAACTGGAAATAATATGGAATATAGAAATTTTTTTTTTCGCTCTCCCCCCTTAATGATTATTTTTCGTTGATTTTTGTATATTTTTCACTTGAAATGTAGAGCAAGAAGATCTTTAGCCCTCGATTCTCTTTTTCATTGAACGTCTCGACTATCCGGTTTTTTTAACAAGTACCAACTGTCTGGACATCAAAACTCGTTATAAAGCAACATATATCTCGCGAAAGTCGATCGTGTATCTTTTTTATGACTATCGGAACGATCGTATCATAACCCAGTTAAAAGGACAAGGCGGTTTACACGGAATTTAAATTGCGACGGTTAGAAAAGGGATTCTTGTTCAACATCTGAGAGTGTACACGAATTTTTCCCTTGTTTTTTTTTTTTTTTTTGTTTTTTAATACTTGAGGCGCAACGAATGCAAAATATAAAAATGCGTACACTGTGTGTATACTTT